TGAGATAAATGCAACATAATTACAAATATTTCTAATAGAAGATCGAGTTGTTACCCCTTTGGATGGATCACCTATTATCTCACCATCCTTGACATAATTGTACTATCTTGGGTAAGAGACTTCCCTTTCTTCAATGGTTGGATTCTTGAGAACATCATGAGTTTCCTCATATTTCGTTTCTTCTTTTGATGATAGTTCTCCAACGTCATGTTTAACGTCATTTGCTTTTATAATACATACATCATCATTTACACAAGAATCATTCCACGGAAGAGGAATATCATCGAAAACAACATGTATAGACTCTTATGCAACCAAAGTTCTTTTATTAAATACTCGATAAGCTTTAGAATTTAAGGAATAACCCAGAAAAATTCCTTCATCACTTTTAGCATCAAATTTGTGAAGATTTTCTTTACCGTTGTTTAAAACAAAGCATTTACATCCGAAAGGATGAAAATAACTAATGTTAGGCTTTTTATTTTTGAAAAGTTCATATGGAGTTTTTTTTTTCAAAATAGACCTAATCATTACACGATTAATAACATCACAAGCTGTATTTGTGGCTTCTCCCCAAAAATATATTGGCAAATTGTTTTCACAAAGCATGGTTCTAGCCATTTCTTCTAAAGTTCGATTTTTCCTCTCAACAACTCTATTTTGTTGAGGGGTTCTAAGTGCTGAAAAATCATGGCTAATACCGTTAGAATTACAAAATTCAGTAAATCCAAGATTTTCAAATTCAGTTCCATGATCACTCCAAACAGTAGTTATAGAGTAACCTTTTTCATTGTGGATTACTTTTGAAAACGTGATGAATTTTTCTAATGCTTCATCTTTAGTACTTAAGAATAGAACCCAAGTATATCTAGAATAGTCGTCTACCAAGACAAATGCATATTATTTTTCACCCAAGCTAGTGGTTCTAGATGGCCCAAAAAGATCTAAATAGATCAATTGTAATACTCTACTAGTGGATACGTCATTAATGGATTTAAAGAAATTCTCTTTTGTTTTCCTTTAGCAAGCATCACAGATTTTATCATTATCAAATTTTAGCTTTGGCAACCCTCGAACTAAATCTCCTTGAATTAGTCGTTGTAAAACACTCATGCTAGCATGTCCTAGTCTCCTATGCCATAACCAACTATCATGCTCATCCTTAGCAACTAGGCATAAATTAGTCATATCTATAGAGTCTAAATGCATCATATATATGTCCCTATTTCATGACCAACAAGCATAATCAAAATGGATGCAATGTCAATTTTGCAATCATTAATTTAAAATAAGACATTGTATCTTTTATCAAATTTATTTTTCAAAAGATTATGCTTTTAACCCATTCACAAATAAAACATTATGCAATGTCGATTATCGAGATTAAGAACTTATGCATAAAGTTTTTGAAAATGTTATGCATTAAAACTTTATATCATTAAAAAAAATAAGATCTATGCATAATCATTAAGAAAAATTTAAGGTCAAAATTTTGTAAAACCAAAGTTCTTGAAAAAATCGATATCAATTGTTAAAGAGATATAAATTACATTTTAAAAACAATTTTGACCAAAAATTAATATGATGAACTAGAGTTTATAAAACATTACCAAAAATTACTATGTTCATCATACAATATTTTTCAACATACATGAGATAAAAAATAATCATTTAGAATTATTCAACATTTAAAACCTCATGCATGCATAAACTAAATGAGCAACCAAATAAAATAATTACATTAAGTTTAGATGTTACCCATTCATTTTTCATGTGTGGCCAAGCATCTTGAATATCGTCATTTTCATCACAATTTTCTCCCACACACCTACAAGAGACATTTAAGTAGATTTTGGTATCCAAATTGCTTTGGATCCTTGAATGTTAGTTTTGATGCCTCTTGTTCCTTTTGGAACCTATACTTGTCTAATTTTAAATCGTTTTCCTTTCTATAAATAACAAGTATGTTCCTTATGACTATGATAATGACAATGTGAACATATTGTCATTATTGAAATATATGAATTATTTAAAATGATCTCTTTTTCTTTTGTTAAGCATTCAAGCTTAAATTTCAAATCGAAAATTTCTTTTTCAATACTTTCAAATTTCATTTTAGAAAGCTTTAAATCCTTCTTCAAGATTTCATTTTGATTGTCAAAATCCATTTTCATTTCTAGAAGAAGTTTGTCTAATTTGAAAATTTCTTTTTCAAAGTTTTCAGATTTTGTATTTGAAAGCTCTAACTCTTTTCTCAACATTTCATTTTGATTTTCTAAATCTATTTTAGCTTTCAAAAGAAATTCATATTTAGCTATAAATTTAGAAATCAATTTATTGTATTTGGAGTTCATAGTCTCAAACTCCAAAAATAATGCATCATAAGCATCTTGTAACTCATTAAAAGATTTTGAATTTAATCTATTTGAGTTAGAAAATACCTTTGGCTCTGTGAGAGCTATTAGAGACATCACCTTTATTGGTTATTCTTCTTCCTTGTCTCTATAGATCTCCTCAAGCTTATCCCACATCTCATTGGCATTTGAACAAGAAGAAACTCCTTTATATATATTAGGATCAATTGCACAACACAACATGTGTATAGCCTTTGTATTTTATTGAGCTTTCTTCCGTTCTTGATTACTCCACTTCTTTGCCTTCTTCGTAGGAGAAACATATCCTTTCTCGATCATCATCCAAGCTTCCATATCAAATGCTTGGATAAATATCATCATAAACTTCTTCCAATTATGATAATTTGTTCCATTGAACTGTGGAGACATGCCAATTGGTCTGGATTCTTCCATGGAGAATGAATCGGAAGTGGACACCATCTTTATTGATTTAACTCTTCCCGAATCGACTCAAATGGTGGTTAAACCTTCAAATAAGTGAGGCTTGATATCAATTGTTGAGTTAATTGATCGACGAAATAACCAAGATGGTGAATTGGTAATTAAAATTTTGGTGGAAGCTTTTGCAGAAAATAGAAAACATTTGCACATCGATTTAAAGTGGTTCGACTTTCTCAACCAAAGTCTACGTCCACTACCTTAGCTATCCACACTAAGGATTTTCCAACAAATTCACTAATTTGTTCTTTCTTTTGAGGACAAAGAGTAACCTTACAAATCCCTTAAGAATTATACCCCAAATTCTTGAGCACACTCTTTCCCAAAGATAAATATACAAATTTGCAAACTTACAAGAAAAACCTCACAAGGTAGATTGTTTGCACAATTCTAGAACAAAGAAAGAACACTAAAAATAAATACAATAGAGCACAAATGGTGTTCTTGAAAGCAAGATGAATATTGAATAAAAAATAGGCTTCAAGTGCTCAAACAATGAGTTTGATGCTTTCTCTTTGATTATATCTCAATTCTTCTTAATTGTTGTTTATCAATGGATTCTAAGCTTGTTTAAATACTCCTTGGATCACTTATGAACGTTGGAGATTATTAGTGGAGTCAATAGAGCCGTTATTGTGTGAAATCAATTAATAAAACAACTTGGAGCGTGGGGGGAATCGGTACCCCCTCATAGGGAATCAGTTCCTATAGTGTAAAATTCAAATATTTCGAACGTTATGAGATGGGGGGAATCGGTACCTCATGGGGGGGGATCGGTACCTTCCGAGTAATATGTTATTTCTCGGAGCCAAAACCTTTCGGGGGTATCAGTTCCCTTATTTGGGAGGAATCGGTACCCTCTGAGTAAACTGTAATTTTTGGCTTGAATAGAGCTCGAAATATTGTAAAATTGTTTCAAAAATATTGTAAGATTGAAACTTAATTTTTGCACTTGAGTAAGAATTAAAATTGATATTTTGAAAAGCTTGGAGTAATATTTTGATATTTGAATAGTTGTATTGAATATACTTAGAAAATCATTTGTAAAATCTTAAAATTCATTTAACTTAATTTGTTATATTGAATCATCAAAATGTTTTCAATTAGTAAGCAAAAAGACAAACAAGTATCCAAGTGAGAGGACAATGATGGTAAATATAATAATCTAATTTGTTTTTTATCTTTTGCTAACATCAAAAGGGTTTACTTTCCAATGACGAGAAAATAAAAATTTGGACTGATTTGTCTTCTCTTATTCCACACATAAATTTGCATATATTATATAATCTTTTGGAAATGAAAATAAGAATAACTTAAAAGGATTAAGTTTGGCTAAATGACATCCACAAGCAACTTGTTTGAGTGACGTAATACGATTTATTATTATTATTTAAACTAAGTATCAAGATTAGAACTTATAGATAAAACAATCTATACGTCTTTGATTACTCAATCACTTAATAAATTTCGTCGTCGTCATATTCTTTTTGTATATTATATATGAACCAAGTTAAGCATTACCACTAATGGTAATTACTATTTGTCAAATTCATTATATGCAACTAATCATATGGGGTACATTAATCGAAGAAGACGAGGGTCCATATCTCATGACAAAACTTAATGGTACCTATATAAAAAATATATACAAAACCTACTTTTACTAAGTAAAAAATAAAATTATACTTGTCCAAGTTTTATATATTAACATATAAAAAATATCTAATCTTAATTAATATAAACTTAATAATAAATATGAACTTAATGTAATTTAACAATAGCGTATAAGTAGATTAATTAGATATAGAAATAAAAAAGTTAAGGAATACACCTTTTAACTTTTATCTCATATTATCAAGAAACATAACTTAAACAGTCTAATATGCCTAAATAAGCTAACACAATAAACTGTTCAATTCATGGAACTAATATGCATTAAATTATAATGTTAATCTTATAATTTTATTTTTTAAAAATATATATTTTTTAAAATATTTTTAGGGTTGATGCAAATCTATAGAAATCAGACTTGTATATTCTGTATATATCAAGATATCTTCTGTATATATTAAAGGTTCAATTAAAGTGCAGATGATGATCTAAATATGCGTATTATCAGAAAGGGTGATAGATTGATAATATTAATAAACGATAAAAAAACGATCTTTCTTTAATCATTCAACAGAATCCAAATTCCCCATGCCAAACCCTATCGTATACATTGCAGTCGGTTCAGAATCTGAAGAAGAAACCGAACCAGAATCAGAAGAAGATTCCGGAGAAACTGAAGAACAAAATTCCCAATCCGAAGAAGAAGAAGAAGAAGGGTTTATTCCTGTGATGGAATCGCCTAGGGTTTTGTCCGAAAAAGAAGACGAGGAAGGAGGAGAAGGCAAGTGCTGTTCGAGTGCGGGCGAGGTTGGGGAAAATTCTCAAGGTAACGAATGGAATCGTGGCGACATCGATGGGTTGTTTTGTACCATCTGTATGGAAGCTTGGACTACAGCAGGTGACCATCATGTCTGGTATGTACATTTTACGATCCGTCTTTGAATTCTTGGGCTTTTATTTGAATTTCGTTTCGGCTTTCCTATTGGCGCCAAACTATGAATTCCTTGGTTTATTAGTATTACTTTATATAATTAAAAAAAATAACTCTGATGGCCTTTTGGATGAGAAATAATTACAGTTGAACGTGTATTGCCTTTTAGTTCATGTAATCAAAGAATCTATTGCATTCTACTAATAGAGGTGTTTTTCTTGTAAATATGAAATTTTGGCTCACTAGATATGCTTATCAATTTTCTAACTGTTTGGCTGTAGTTGTCTTCCTTGTGGGCATATATTTGGTTTTTCGTGCATCCGAAAATGGTTACAGCAAGGTCGACCTACCAAAAAGGTTTCGTTTTTCATCGTCAAACCATGTCACAATTTTCAACTCTACGGACTGCACTTATATTTATCTGACATTCTTGTTTTCTTAAGTGTCCTCAATGTAACAGGAAATGCACAATGAAGGATGTAAGGAAATTATTTGCGTCAAGGATTGTTGCTATTGATGGAGAATCACAAAAGGTCTTGCTAAAATTCTAGAGAATTGATAAATTTTTTAAGGAAGATTTAATAAGTGTAATGTTAATGGTGTATCTTTATTATGCAGAGAATTCAATCTCTTGAAGCTAAATGTATCTCTCTCGAAAAGAAGGTAATTTAAAAAAAAAGAATTAAAAATAATGTCTTTCAACTTGGTATTGTTTTGTGGTAATCCACTCTGTCTTTCTGATATTCTAAAAGAAATTTGTAGAATGCTGTTTTGATTAAAAACAAAGCTGAATGGCGAAAAAAAGAAGCTGAATGGAAACAGAGAGAAGCCCTGTTGGAACAACAACTTCGCCAGTTTAAGGAGGTATGCTGATCATAAATGTTATTAATTTTGATTGTTTCTTTATACATTTTCGTAAAACTACCATGTCCTATTGAATTTGTTTAATGGATTTTAGTTTTCCCCATTAAATATCTCAGTTGTTGCAGTTTTGTTACAGTTCATTTATTGCTTCTTGAGCTTTTCACTACTCCAGTACTTTCTGTGCTCTGTTTTATGCAGTAGTGTTTAGGTGCTTGAGTTTGAGCTTGCCTCATTCGCTATGAGCAGTGCAATCTCACATTTACAACATCAACTGCTTTCAGTTATATTCATTTTTTTTTGTGGCAGCAAATGTTGTGCATGCTTAGAGTTTTAGGAAATATTATTGGTTGTACTATAGAATTTGGAATCTCTGACCTTCTTAATTAATTGATTTTCGGATCTTGTTTCCTATTAGAGATAAAAGTTTGGAAGGCCTGAACCATATTTGAGTGCTTACATATAAATCGTATCTGTCATATCCTTTTTTTTAGGCTGACCGACCTGTTCCTTAAAACAATAATAGTATTTTGTTATCTTGAGACTTTTTTTTTATAGGAAAGGGAGACCTCATTAAAAACCCCCTTCATATCTTGGGACTTTTTGATTTTGCAGACAACAAATTATTTGGAACACTTATTAGATGTGCAGAGTAGGACACTGGGACATCCACCTTCAATGGGAGGCTATCAAGTGCCATCTCTTGGTAATCCTTTTTCTGCCATTCTTTTAAGGAAGAGACATATTCTCATAGGGTTAATGATCTTGTCTTCTAATCCTTGACAATGAGACTATTAAATCATCTTCAATAGAAACTTCTATGCATGAAATATAAGGATTGGTGCTTTTTCATTTTCTCAAGGGCTTATTCATATGCATACTAATTCTGTTTGACCTCACATTCTTTTCTGTAGGCCAAAACCTAGGCTCAGAGTTTTATGGGAATGGACCTTTCATATTGCAGGTGTTACTCATTCTCTTTTTTTGTCTCTTTTTTTTCTTTTGTAAACTCACTTCATCACTTGAATGTGTGTGATATTAGCTTTTGTATGAAATGCCAATTGAATTTTTCTTGAAGTTGGAAACAGTTCATTTTCATGGTTATGTGAAAACTTGCAGTGCATTTGACATTACTTGGATGTTGCTCTTTTTGAAATTTCCATCCTCTCAAAGTTCTCAATCAAAATTTGCTTCGTTTAACTGTTTCTATTTCTAATTTGCTACATCTCTTTCACACCCACTTTTTTAAGGACTTTGATATTGGAAACATTCTTCTCAGATAAGATGGTGTTTTGTTGGAAATTCAAATCTAAAGTCTGCTTGTTCTCTTAAAATGTTACTTTGTAATATTGTTTGTTGTGGTTATGACATGGACTCTTTTTCATAATACTTGACACCTTGCTTTGTGCACAGTTGATTCTTTCGTAATGTAATTGCAATTTGATTAATTTTAATAAATTTCAATTTCTTTGATTGACTTTTTCCTTGACTAATTTCTTTTTTATCTTGCAGAAGGAGCTTGGTGTGGATGGTGCACGGCTATTTGATATAGATGCTTCAAGCAAAATTATATTAATGGCACGAAGATTGCAAGGGTTGAGCGGAACACATGTTCTTACCAAAGTAAAGTTTCTGAGCTTCACATGGAATGTGACTTTATTATAAGTTTATAACTACCTGCAGTTTCTGCAAAGAACACACCTGTATAATTTCTAAACATGGGTTGCAGACGGGCTTGGTAGCTCCGTATATGAGAGAGGACATTATTTTGCCTTTTGGTACTAAAGCTGTTAGGGATCTGCACATTTGCCCTCTGGTAGTAGCTTGGCACTTTTTGCTTCCCTCGGAAACAAATTATCAGTTCTTAGGTAGGATATTCTCAGATTGAAAAGTCATCTGAATTATTCCTAGTATTTCCCTTAATTGACTTAATCATTCATGTTGTTGCAGCACAAAAATTAACCAAGTTACCCTTGTATATGATCTACCGGTAAAATTTCATCAGCTATACCTTCATTTACTAATTAGGTCGAGAATTTTCTTCTTTTGTATCATTCTCCCTGATGGAGATTTTTGTAGTACTGACATAGTGACATTTGACTTTCAGGCTCCTGCATGGTCTTGTTCATGGGATCTCAACAGTTCACATCAAATATATGCTGGGCTGCAGGTTTAAAAAATGAGCTTGATTGCTTGTCCAGATAAATCTTGGTCAATTGAACTGATCTTTTAAAGTGTTATGCAGAATGGCTCTCTTTGTGTGTTTGATATGCGCCAAACTGCCAAGCCTCTGGAGTTTGTTCACGGGTTGACAAGCAACCCAATTCATACAATATACTCGACACCTAATTCAACCCTTCCTTCAGGTGTTACGACTGTACTGTCAGCGTCATCCTCTGGCATTTGTCACTGGAACTTTGGTGGATCTGAGCAGGGGTGAGTTGGAAATGTAATTTATGCTTCTTGTTTAAATTATACATAACATTAACAAATTGTTTGTTCCTTGTGGTTATCAATGTTTAGGGCTCAAGTTAGATAACTTATTTTCTTAGTTGACCACTCTAATTTATAAGGCTGTCTAAAAAACTTTTGGCCGACTCTCTTGAAGGCGATTTTTGGTTTCGGAGGCTGGCAATCAAGGAGCTTGCATATCTCTTGCTTATTCTCCTAGCAGTGATGACATGGTTGCTTCATTTCGCCCAAGAATTGACAATTCTAACGAGATGGCATCTTCTCAACCCTTACTTACTCCTGCTCATGCTCTTGGGCAAGGGGTTCAAGGTTCCCATGTTCATTTGAAGAGAGTCGGAAGCAACTGCTATCAGAAGTTGGCGGTTACATGTGCCAATGTCAATGACGTTCGATTGCTAAGATCCACAGTTATGAACATAGAGAATCATGGGTGTTTGTTTGTATCAGGGGATGAACTTACCTGTGAATTGGTCTTGCAAGAGTTGCCATCTTTTACTGTTGTTCAGCACCTTAAGTCACCAAAGCAACCTATTTATGATGTAAAGCATGCACATGCCTGTGAAGGAGGCTTGTTAGGTTGTTTAAGTGAGGGTATTTTGCTGCTTTACAGTAATCATGCTCTAAAATAGATTTAGATTCTAACTGGGAATCTGTCCGAAAGAATTCCTTTCCTAACGACATGATCGTGAATATATATATCTATATTTACCTAGATTTAGGGCCATCTGATGGTTGAGAGTTATTGCAGTGAAGGTTGCAATAACTTTTGCTGATACTGTAGGAGTCTCTTGAACGTGATTGCAGGTTTCCGGATGATACCGGAGGTGATCGACCCACATCAGATGGTATTGTTTTTTGTCGGCTCCACTTGCATTGTATTATTATAGCTATGGTTAGCAATCTATTTAGATGTTTTAGTTAAATGTATCCTGCATAAGATTTTGCTAATCTTGTTATATATATTATTGTCTTACAATGTTGACAATGAAAATTTTAGTTTTCATTAAATATGTAGCTGGTAATATCTAGGGCCGGCTATTAGGGGAGCACCCTGAGCTATTGTTCAGGGTTCTCAATTTTCATATTTATAATTGGGGTCTTATTTTTTTTCAATTATATAAAATTTTCATTTTTCGATCTTCCTTTTTCATCTCATATTAATTTATTCAATTCTAGATTAAATTTCATCATATTTCCCCGTTAAATCTCATTCTTCAATTCATCAAACATTCTTCATTTTTTTTGTCTTTTTCATTCTCAATCTAACGATGAAATAGTACATCATTTTTCATTATTTTTATTGTTCAAATTCAAGTTTCGTATTATACCTACATTCATTTTTTGCTTTTCTATCTTAGCCGTACTTAAAGAATTCTTACTAATAAAAATAAAATGGAATGTGGTTAACATTGAAATTCGAGACGTTGGATTCTGATGTGGAAGAAACAGCATTTCTCAGCAATTTTAGAGGTCATCATCATTGATCCTCAAAGCTGGACTACCAAAGGACAGAAATGACAATGAAATAAAATTATTACGAAAGACAAAAGAAGAAAGACCCAAAGAAAAAGTAGATTTGGAGCTTTTGGGTTTTGGGAAAAAAAGCATTTTTATACTACTTTAATAAGAGTTGTAAAGCTCCTCACCAACGACCCCAATATTTTTCATTCGGATCTTTCTTTTGAATTATTGTTGCCCAAATCTCATTTACTATTCCCATCAATATAATTGCCTTAAATTGCACAATCAAGTCTTTGCTATTATTTGAAGTGTTATTTCACTCATGTTTTAGATTCTTTTATTGGAGGTTGCTACTCAACTTTCTTGATTAGATTGTGAGCTGAAAATTATACAAGGGTAAATTGCAACAGACATCGATGAATTTTACCTACTATCTCGATTGGACTTTTAATTTTATCAATTATAACACCGAACTGTAATTTTACATTCAATTGTGTCACTCTTCGTTAAATCACTAATGAGACGATCGGTTAACAATTTATGCGTTGCATGCCACACCAAAACAACATTGTTTTGATGCGACTGTTCTGATGCCTACTATGACTGCGTTTTGGCCATTAAATTTTGGGGTGTATCGATTTTACCATTAAACTTTTAAACAATTTATTTTTTGGCATTACACTTTCCGAACGTCGCAGACAACTAATCATTGCATGCCACCGATTGTCTTTTATGGTAAAACCAATACCAAAACGTTCATATTTCACTCTTCATTCTTCTTATAGGATTATTTGTTTTTCACGAAACCCACTCAAAATTGAAAAATAAACAAAAAAATCCACTATTTTTTTATGTTTAGAAACTTTATTAGATTTATGAGATTTTAGGTGTTTGTTTGAAAATCTGAAAGTGAGAAGTATTATTTCGAGAAGACAAATAACATGTCTCAAAACTAGCTCATCTTGAAAGAGATCAGAGTATTAATACGTCGAACTTCTAAATAAATTTTTATTGAATTTTAGTGGATTTCATGGAAAACCAATCTAGAGAAGAAAGAGTGAAATGACACAGATCTTACCGTGAAATATGACTAGTGATGATTGGTGCTTGTCTGCCAGCGACGGTTAAAAAGTGCAATGCTAAAAAAGTAATTTGTTTGAAATATTAGTGGCAAAACTAATAAATCCATAATATTTAATACCTAAACGACGTCATTTTAGACATCAATAGTCGTCGCCAAAATGACGCCGTTTGATATGACAAGCCACGTCAATCCATTAATCATGTCATCGTATTGTTAGTGATTTAACGAAGGAATGACATAATTGAATGTAAAATTAAAATTCAATGTTATAATTGAAAATTAAAAGTTTACTGATATAAACGAGTCAGCAAATAATGTTTAGTGGCTCTGGAGTAGTTTACCCTTATATTAAAACCCTTTAGGGCTGTTTGGATCAAGGATTAGGATTCTGAAATATATTTTTTTCTGACTAAGGATACCCATGTTTGGTTATGTATTCTTTCTCAAGTGAGGGTAATATTTCTTTGTGTTTATTTTGAGAATGTTATTTCCACACACCCGTTATTATTCTTTATTCCGTGTGCTTAGGGCTAAAATAATCTTCTTTTTCCCGTTTACCTCTGTATATTTCTTCTTCCTGTGAGAGCTTGCTTCCTCTGTGAAAAATTCATCGTTCTCCTTTCTTTCCTCTCCCTTTCTTTACAATATTTTACTTGTTTAATTTTTCAAAAAAAATGGTTTCGGGTAAGGGTTTATTTAATCTAGTATTGTAAGATCGAACCCATTTTTTCAGAAAAATGCTTTCGGGTTAGGGTTCAGAGATACATTTCTCCCGGTAGTTCAGCTCCATAACCAGAAGGTTATGCTTCGAAAAAGCCCTAAGCTTTGTTTTCGGATATCTCTAGTTTCTCGTTTTTCATGATGATTGTTGATTTGGCTGATCATCTTTTTTATTTGAAAGGGTTTCTCCTCATTGCTGTATCATTTAATCTATTCCCTAACTTTTCATTGTATTAGATTTCTATTTTAGTGTTTCGTGTTATCATTTAATAATCTGCTGAAAGTGAAGTTTATTTTTTTGTAGGTTGTAACAATGGCTTTCTTAAGTAAAATTGGGAATTTTCTTAGGCAGGCCTCGACCACACAGATCAATTATCAGTTTTCTGCTTCAAGGCCCAACCTTTTTCAAGTGTTCGGTGCATGTCAAACTCACTGAGCTCGAAAGTTGAAAGTTTTTGTCAGAGGTGCCGCCCAGCTTTTGTTTATACTTTTGGAGCAAACTGTTTTCTGTTACCTATTTTTTTAGGGTTTCTTAGTGATTTTTTTATTGCAGGTGTTTCATATCAAACGGATGACCAAGGTCTGAGAGAGGCTTTCAGCCAATATGGTGAAGTTGTTGAAGGTATGCTCTGATGAATGTATTTGCTAATTTCAATTTGTAATTGCGAGTTAACACTATGGAAGGGATTTAAAAGTTCCTCGAGATGCTTAAATATTTTCCTCTACATGTCGAGTGTGTCGTATTGGTTCATGTTTTTGAGTATAATGGCATGTCCCGTGAAGATTTAGATGCCACCTTTGATATGTTTTCATAACGAATGAAAGTTTTTAACTTAAGTTTGTGTGGGCTTGTGTATATGATGTACTCACTTTTTGCAGTCAAGTTTGTTTAATGTCCACTGCTTTTATATGTGTAAAATAGCTGATTAATTTGATATTTATTGTAGCAAGAGTAAGAAAGCAAGCTAGAGATTTGGCTTCGTCACGTACACCAGTACTGAGGATGCTTTCAGCGCAATACAGGCCTTGGATGGACAGTAATATAAGACATCTAAGTATCTATTGTTTGAAGAATTTGTTTATTCCTTTTATATTGGCAGTCTTGGAATATCCGTTGGTTTCTTCTGTTTAAGTAAACCTCATAGAATGCTAATAATGTATTTCATAACGAGCATATATGCTTAAACCTTTGTACAAAGAGATAAAAATTAGAATATGATGCATGCAATTTATGTTTTGTAATCCTATTGGGCCTTTTCTTCGTATGTTGATCTGCAACTATTGTAAAAGCTTTTGCATTGTGTTGGTTGGGCCTATGTCAAATGCTTGGTATTTAAGATTCCAACTGTGGTGAACTATGTAGATTTGGAATTATTGCATCGCAAATTAATTTATGCTACTCATGTTCACTATCAGCATCTTGAAACACAATATGTCCTTTGTCAGGGCCACAATCTTCATGTTATAACTCATTTTTCCTTGGCAACGTATGGGGTTCACTTTCATGTCTGCTAGTAATTCTTACTATGAAGTACAAGTTCCACATTAGTTTTCTCAATCGCCTCAACTTACAAATAATTTTCATTACTTGAAAAAAAATGTTATGTAGGCCTTAATTTGCGCATGTATGTATAAATAATTGATTTAGCATGCGAGATGTTTTATCATCATAATATTCTTGGTTAATCTATAAGGTATAGATAAGGGTGAAAACGTAGTTTTATCTTTGCCTACCCTGTTTGATTTTTCAGATGTTTAACATAGCAGCATTGGTTCTTATATTTGTGGTAGTTATTTGTGGGATTTTTTGGTTGTCTTTCTTGTTGTAGGCTCTCCATGGCCGTCAAGTAAGAGTGAACTATGCAGTTGAGAGACTCCTCGTAACTTTGGAGGCGACGGTGGTGATGGTGGCTACAATAGAAATGTCCTCATCTGGAAGTTATGGAGGTAATGTTGGATACGGTGGTGGTAACTATGGAGGCAAAGGAAATTATGGTGGTTTTGATCAATCTGCTACAACTAATTTCGATGGTGGGAATTTCAACTACTGCTGGTGACATTGCCACCGGAGGTCCTATTGGATATGGAAGCCAGAATACGTGATTTGATGGTAGTAATCAATTCGGTAGTGCTGAAGATGGCTTCAAGGAGGGAGGAGAAGCATTCGACTCAAACGAGCCAATGAATGAGAACTTCCGGGACGACGACGATGAGAATAGAAGTGATTTCGCCAAAAGGGCATGAAGCAAGTCTGTGTCAAGTAGCAGTAAATTGTTTGGTTATTTAGTTATGGTCGTTACTTTCTGTGAAACTAATTTTTATGTTATTTGAGTTCGAATAAATTTAATTTCTTATTTGAATTATGTTTTTGTAATATAAATTCATTAGATAAATAATAATGATAAAATATGAAGAATTAAATATAAATATAAAAGATAAATAAATAAATTATTGTATATAGAAGATATAATAAATATTATATCTTAGATAGCAAAAATAATTTACATCTTTTTATTATTATGAATATATATAAAGAATTTTTACAATGTAAACATTTAGTTAAATGTTAATGTAAAATTTTAATATATTTTTACATAAATTATGTAAAATTTAATATTAATTAAAATTAAAATAATACATGATATATTTAAATACTCAAGTAATATATTATCAACAAATAGAATTTTTATATAAACAATTTTTATTTAAAAATTTAGAATTTCACTTGTTAAAAAATATAGAACAAGGACAATTTGGTAAAATAGACATTCTAGTAATATTTTATTCCTTCAACCAAACACTGTAATCTTACATTCTTGCCAAACCAACCAAACACAATAATGTAACATTCCCAGTAATCATATTCTTTGGTAATCTTTTATTGCCACTGGTAATCTTACATTCCGTGAACCAAACGCACCCTTATTACATTGTCATAACTAGCTAGGAATCTTTTTCCTTCAATCTTGTCCGGAAAGACACAGCTTCCAGTAGCATTTGAAAAAGCCTAATATTAATATATGCATTAATGTAATCCTTTAAAAAGGATTAAGTTTAAATAAACAAATGATCAATAAATCATTTTAAAATGATATTTTCGTTCTTTAGATTTTTAAAAGTTATAAAACGATTATTAAATTTTTAATTCGATCACAAAATGATCACAATACCGCCAGTTACGAGAAAAGGCGATAACGTGGTACGCTGAATTAATAGGTAATATCCAATTTAACACCCGAAATGTTGTTTCCTGGCGGTGCCGACGAAAGGGCTGAATAAGAGTTGCAAGTTGTGGCCTGGAAAGGGAGAAACCTTATTGAATACTACAAGCTTTTTTCCTAGTAAACACATTCAAAAACAATCCTTGAGTTTCTTAACAAGGCCAGCAATCAAACAAGCTCAAAACAATGAAGGAATAGAGATGAAGAAGAAGCTTGTGTTTAAGAATCACTGCATCACATTTAGAAATCGAAAAGAAACAGTCAGGTTGATGAACAAAAAGTCCAAGTGAGAGATTTGACTTGAAATTCACTGTTTGCCTTTTATCATGTGCGCCTGCATTATTACTGCCAGCAGTTTATTTTCTGGAAATTTTTCTTCTTTCATGAGCTTCTTGGATTCCATGACTTGCTAAGTGATGGTCATCCATATTTCAATAAAAAAGAAAAATAAAAAAAAATCTACAGTTAAATTCTGCTTTTATTAAGAAATGATTACTGAAACAGCACACTCAATCAATACTCCCATGACCCCATATCCATGGCTTCATCATCCCATTGTCTCATTGTATTAGAGCAACCAAAACAAAGATAGTAAAATTATTTCAAGTAAAAAGGAAAAAAGAAAAGAATTTTGATTGAGTTGTTATTAAGTTCATTCACTTGGTCTAACACTCTGGGGTTAAGGCATGGTTCCTTTTGGGGTCCCAGCAATAGTTATAGACCACAAGATATCTTTGAACCCATCTCATTGCTCTACGTTGCTGCATCGTTAGCCCGCCGGATCTGAAAGGCGAGGCCGAGACAGGCCGGCACCAAGCGGGCGCATAGGCGCTGCAACCTCCTGCTTTGAAGTTGGTATACTTTGCAACAAACGGTTGGTATCTGTAATCAGCTTTGTATTTCCCATCTTCAGTTGCCCATGATGAGGCATCCCATATCGAACCATACACCCACATTGGCCTTAAAGGAAATGTTGCAGCACTCTTCCTCGGATACCTCCTTATAGGCACATCATCTACTAAGAATCTGATACAAATATCAGATGAATCAACACATAGAATACATTCTAGACAAATGAAATGTGCATACATCATTGCAGATGAACACAAATACTATTCATGTTTCATTCTTATTTCAATACACTTGCATTATCTCTCTAGGACTCCAAAGAATAGCATAGTGGTGAAAATCTTTGGTAGGATCAAACCAAAGATGAAACTTCATTTCCCTGCCAATGATTTTCCCATCCCCACTCCCTCTGATATACACATTTGTTTGTAAAGTGTAAGGCTTCCCAAATGTAGTTCCAAGGAACTCAATGTCCACTTCATCATGGAACCCTGGATGAGCTTCATTGTTTGATAGCTGCAATTTGTTTGATTTTCTAATTAAAAAAGCATTAAACAAAGAATTTGAAGCTAGAAATTAGATTAAGTTACTTCAATTTCTCACATAGAAAGCTGTTATGACCCCTGCAGTATAGCCAGGTTGCACTTTAATGGATGCTCCAAAGTAACCAGAACGAAAAGGCTTAACTGACTTGAACCCACTGCCTGAAAAAAAAATACGAAGCAATCAGATAAGGTAACAAATACCAGATTGATATAAGCAGCTACTAAAAAACTAAGTACCTGAAGTTCTGTCAAGCCAGATTGTTAATGCATTTTGGTCTACACTTTGATGAGCAGGACCCCAAAGATTTCGAAACCCTTTATAAAAGCTCATAGGCCTAAACTTAGAGCTTGGCCAGTAACCAGGAGAAGGTGGCCAGCTAGCATTGGCTGAAGGAAACAATAGAATGAGAAGAAATGAGAGGATGATAGACATGGTGAAAGAATGAAAGAAAGAAAGTTGCCGGGGGGTGGGGGTGGAATGATTGGAGTGTATAAATGGTGGTGTGTGATTTGTGATTTGTGAGAGAGTGAGAAAGCAACGGGACAAGGCATAAATGAAGAGTATGGCATTGGCAGTACAGTTCTGATTAATTAAAAAAAGGGATAAATTACTCAAATGACCACTTAACTATGATGTTGGTGTCAGTCAATATGTTCACCATACTTTCAATTCTATAACCTCATAATTATTTAAATGGTTGCAATATAGCCACCTACTATTACAAAACAAATGACGTAGCTGACATTATTGCTATTGACTAACAACGGCAAGTCAGAGGTCCACATCAACTACACCATTTATTTTGTAACAATAAATGACTACAATGAAACCATTTAAATAGTTATGGGACCATAATGTCAGAATTGAAAGTATGGTAGTCATATCGATACTAACCTATGGTTAAATGATCATTTAAGTAGTTTACCCTTTAAAAAAAAGAGAAGATAGTGGGTTCACATTGGGACATGGAGGAAGGTGATGAATAATCGAAGGATTAATAACACTAAACAAAATAGGCTCAAATTAATGCTATTGTAGATAGAATAATGTACGGTTAAAATGAATTAAATTCTACTGCAACAATTACAAAGTACATACAAATTTGTTTGCTCATAAACTACAACTATTTTGCTTGGCTTTACATGGTTGGAAACAAGCTAAGAAAAGGGTAGATGGGTATCTCTGTAAGAATTAAATCATAAATAAATATGAAAATATCAGGATTAATTATGCCAAATCATCAAGAATAGAATACTAGATGCGGAAGCATACCTGAATTAATTGATAGGTTAAATCCTTGAATCTCTCTTTGGTTGTGATCTTCCAAGAAGATAGAGTTCCCTTGAGTATAAACTTTTGACGGGATAAAAGTAAATACGAGAATGTCTATTTTTTAGGATCATAACCCCTTTATATGGTTGATTTAAGAATTTGTTATTGTCTATACTTATAACTCTGCCCCTCGTCAAGTTATAAATACAAATTTAATAGTATCTACACTTTTATTTCCATGACACTTTTAATATCTTATGACTTTAAAACATAATTGGTCACTTAATTTATGTCATATTTTATGATAACAATATACATTATAAAGATGTGCCCATAATTATGGATTTTAATCCAATAATCTCCACTTGGGCAACATATGTTTCCTGATAAATATACAACCTTATGAGCTCAAAACTTGTTATCATACAATAGTTATTCTATAACAATCTCGTCTATCAACTATATCCATATAGGATCAAAGCGGCCTTTGTCATATCTATCATGACTAGACCCATCGATGGTCATGTATACAAACACAATCAAATGACATAGATCAATCATGGAGCATAACATGAAAATTACATACAATGTGAATCATACATATATATTTCCAATTGGTCCGCCTTAGTGAGATCAAATTTTACCAAAAACAGAGTGTAGATAAATCAAAACAAACTTTATTTTTGTAGAAAATAACTTTAAAATAAATTCCTTAAACTAAAGTAACTGAAATTGTGTTTATAATAAATGAGCATTAAATACAAACTCCCACTAGAACCCAATATCCTTAAATGATATACACCCACATGAGTAATGTGCTCATAAAAGACCTTGGGTAACAGTTCCTTAGTAAGCGCACGATTATGAGTTTGTGCCAACACTAGTAGAAAAAACCCCTTTAATGACACGCATTGCGCGTCATCTATGGGTGCGGATGACACACATTTGCCTGTCGTTGAAGACACCGACATGAATTTCAGATGACGCTTAACTGTGTGTGAAAAAATATGACGCTATTTATGACACACATTTATGACACGCATTAATGACGTTCATTGAGTGTCATTGAAGCCCCCGTCATAAATTAAGATGACACACATTTGTGCGCCATAAATTTATGACATGCATGTATGACTTACATTGCGCGTCATTGAAGCCCCCGTCATAAATCTTCTTGACATACATTTGTGGGTCATAAATTTATGACACGCATGTATGACTTATATTGCGTGTCATTGAAGCACACATCATTAAAAAAGACGACAAACGTTGGTTTGTCATGATTGTATTTCGTAAATATATATATATATATATATATATATATATATATAATGTAGATTGACAAATAATCAAACTAAATCACATTGAATGCCTCATAATACTAAATCTATGTATCATATTATATATAAGCAATCCATTTGCATACAATATATTCACATTAAGTTATCAAAATATTGTATTAATCATATGTCGATACAAAATATCAAGGCATAATAAAGTTTGCCACATAAGATACCATTCTTTGCGAATATCATCAATGTCATCATCCGTGTATTCTTCTTTCCCATCGCCAACCTAAGTAAAAAATATGAAATAAGTATATAATTTATACTTATTTAAATTGAAGTATATAATGAACTATTAAAGAGTACTAAAATGACCAATTTTACATATGCATTCTTTGAAGCATAATAACATTATGCAAAGTCATCAAATCAATAACATTATAAAAAGTACCAACTTTGTTCACAACAATATCACCACAAATAATAACATTATGCACTATACGATGCGAAAATCAAAGATGTATATGCTTTCAATAAAAAGATATATGGCATGAACAACTTAATCAACCTCATGTTCTTCACAATAGAGCTCTAATTTTTTAACTTTTGGCACCATGATTCCTCGTGCGAAAATGAATTATCTTTTGCTTTCTAAATTCATCAGACTCACAAAGTTTCAATATGTCTTATTGATCATAAAATCTCATTTTTATCCATTTCGCATCCAACAAGAAAGTGAAAGTAACAATTGCATCATCTAGAACTATTGAATCTACAGGACATAAAACTCGACAATCATTTATTGACCTTTTATCACCACAAGAGAGTCCCTATTACGTCTAGAGTACTTGACAAAATAAAATTTTGGATTTTAAGTGCTAGTACGTGTCAAATGCTTTCACAACTCCACCAAACATTTCAAATTGTTCCTTTAGACATTGATTCATATATCGAAAAATAATATCAATTGCCACATGCGTAAAACGTGTAATTAGATTCAAGAATTCACTCATTACTTACAACAGAATCTGTAAGTAGAATCAAATAACAAGAAGTTTACCATCAATGTAATCTTTCACTAAGTTAAATTCACAAGATTTTTAATTTTGTTTCAAATTATAAATGATAACCTCCATTCCATACAGAAACGTGAATCATCAAAATAAAAAAACATTTCAAACCACAAGGTGATAACTAGAAGTCTAAAATAGCATCTAACTATGAGTTTTTCAGTAGAAATAAAAAGAGCATGACAATTCTTATTAATATGAATAGAAAAGATGTTATCGTAGATGAATTTCCAATAATATCATCCTACTTCAAGTCCATATGATAGTTGTATGACTAATGTGTATGTATGATATGACAAATGTGTATCAGAAAAGTTTGCTTACATTCTTATTGACCAGCACTTGAAGTCTGTTCTCGACTATCTCTTTCATGAACTTACAAACATAATATCCACACTCGGTACCTCCCGACTGACGGGGACACTACAAACAGTTTACAATAAACAATTAGTCAAATTGAAAGCTGCAATTTAAACAAGGAATGATCGTTCGAAGTCCTCACCAAAACATTGATCCAATTGTGGCTAACCTTTTGTTAGATCCACTTTGAGCACTGTACAATTTCATTGCCCTATAAAAATTGATGAAATATATCAAAGAATATACTATAATGTTTTGATAATTTATGTTACTTACACATCAATAACTTGCTTCAACCACTGATGGACATTCGTGGGCCCCAAGGAATCAAGATAATAATAACTTGTTGCTTTCATATCTATCACTGCCAACACCCAATGTCTTCTATAAAAACAAAAAACCAAATTAAGTTTCTAAAATATATTGATAATCAAATGAAAAAACAAACCCGGGATTATATGGAACTAGGACGATGTCATTGTCCTTTCTTAGAGACAATCGATCTTCAACGCTTCGAATTGCCTCATCGCTATTTTTGAATTTTGCCTTACGTCCTGATGGCGAGATTGCAGACGGGCTCATAAAACAAATTCCATGATCTATTTTTGACCCATTCTTGATTTCCTCAAAAAAGTACCTATATATTAACATTAGACAAGTACGATGATTAAGTATATTGTGTTTGAATAAAATTAAAATTATGCACTTACATCATATAACAAGTAATCGCATAACCGGTTATCTCATCCACAGTAAAAACCACTTCAAAATCTTCCCAAGTTATGTACGTGAAACTGTCGTACCCAAACATATCGTCCTCACATTGCACTTTCACGGACTCCACTTTTTCAAGTTGTATATCAACCATACATGCAAACACTTTCCAAACACGGTTACTTTCAACTCTTAGCCTTGTCCTCATTTGTGCTTTCATCCTCCTCCTTTACGGTGTTCCCTCATCCTTTTCTTTTTTTTTTCCCCTTTTCGTTTTCCTTTCTCCTCTTCCTTTTTCCTTTGCAGTGTCCCTTATCCTTTACCCTCTTCATTTTCTTTCTCTTTTTCCGTCTTCAGTGTCCCTTCTCCTTTCTCCTCTTCCTTTTCAACAAGTTCTCTTTGTCATTTTTTCCTTTATTACTTTCTACTTTATCTTCGTTCACACGTTTTTTTCCCATAAACGCTAACATTTTTTCCTACAAAAAAATATAAATATAAAATTTAAATTAGACATATATAATTTCTTTAAATAAATGAAAATATTACCAAATCAAAGCATCGAATGACTAGATGTCTAGGCCACTTCACTAGGAACCCCACTGCATCTTTAACCTTGTAAATGAACTCCTCATCTAGTGGAAACGGTAGTAAAGCGTCTCATTGCACACTCATTTCCATCATTACTTCAATGTTTTCACCTGTTATATAAAGTTATTTCTAAGATACAATATTCTAAAAGTCAAAAAGAAAACTGATATTTTTTGTAATACCTGATAGATCATTGTGCTTCACTATCGTTCCTT